GAAGAACTCAAGTTCTGGCTTTATCCTTTTCAAATTCTGGGCCCTTAATTATCTTGAAAGCTACCTGGCCTGGTGGAAGGTGGTGGCTCAGATATCGGGGAGCCCAGCAGGTGAATAACATACCTGCTCTGTGCAGGGAACATGCCTCATGGGGGAGACAGGGCCAGTCACTCAGAATCGCCTCCCCTCCCTTCCTGGAGTTGTCAACACCAGCTCTCAAAAGGAAACACATCCAACATACCACAGAAGTGATTTGGAGATTATAAATCTCAGCAGGTACACTCAGGTAGAAGAAGAAAATGGAAGGGATGACTGACTTAACTACCTCCTTTCTCAGCCAGAATTTTTCTAATTGCTACCTGGAAGTCCTTGTCCTGGCCACATGTATTGATGGATAGGAAAGATTTATGATTTTTAAAAATCTTGATATGGAAAGCTGGATGGGTATTGTTTGTTTCTCTCATCTAATATCCATTCTCCTTCTTCCCTAAACAGAGAAAAGCCCATTTCCTTGAAATAAATACACATACACATAAAATACTGATCATGATAGGGACATAAATATTAAACAATATGTTTAAGTCAAAAAGTGCTTCAAAAGCCACTGTTTTCAGTGATGCTTTTTTAAAAAACAGGTTGTTCCCTGGCCAGGTAGCTCAGTTGGTTAGAGCGTCATCCTAATACACCAAGGTTGTGGGTTTGATCTCATCAGGGTACATACAAGAATCAACCAATGAGTGCATAAATAAGTGAAATAACAAATGGATGTTTCTCTCTCTAATCAATAAATTTTAAAAAATCAGATTGGGTTTCACAGATTCTGAAGAAAACACTTTTTCAAAGCTGGGATTAATATGGTTTCTAGTTTCCATGTGTAACAGCTGGAAGCAAGTTATACCAAGGGAGTATCACTGAGAAAAAATGTTTTCTCAGGCATGGAGGAAACACCTTTAAAAGCCACTTCTTCATAAAGTTTTTTCCTTTTCAAAGCAAGTAATTGAGAAACCAGTTTATGATGATTGGGTACAGCTGGGTTTCACATTTAGGTTTTCACATGGCCAATTTGAAAAATCAGACACTAACTTCTAAGTCATGCCAATGATTTCAATACATAAAGAGTAAGGAAATTTTACTTTTTTTTAAAAAAAAGATATTCATAGGGAATTCAGTTAATCCCATCCAGCTTAGGCAGTATTTCTACATGACAGAATTATTATATTTCTAAAGACATTTATGTTGGCAGAACTCGGGCCTCCTGAAATAGGATCAAGTGGACTCCCCTCTGTATAACACAATCAAGTGGGAACAGGGGGTGGGGAGGGTTCTGCTAGGCTCTGGCCACCACAGACAAAGACTGGAAGGAGTCCAATAAATTCTTCTAATGGTTTTTAGCCAGCCTTTTCTCCTACTAAGCAGTTCCTAAAAAGAAAATTCTCTTCCCCTGCAATATGTCAAAACCAGTGGAAACAGAACACAGGCTGGGCACCCCGTGGTTGCCCCGAGGAGGCTGTCTGGGCATGTGGGAACAAGCTTCCCTCCGGCACTGCTGGGCAAAAATACTTAGATCAAATATAATCAGCATGACAGAAATCAGCTTAAACAGAAGGGGAGGCCCGGGAATGTTTAGGGATGGGTTGACACTGTTTGAAATTTCCCCCAAACGTCCTAAATAAATTGTGTTGATACTGTACCTGGTACTCTGGTTTGAGCCCTATGGTATGGGAGCCTGCAGTTCCCGCAAAGCTTGCAATGCCACGCAGCTGTGTGTGCTTCGTACCAGCCCGCCCCCGAAAACCTTTGCCACTCCGACCTGAGCTCTATGGATTGACAAATCTTAAACACCTTAAAATGGAAAATTAACTGGAAAGCCACTTCCTCCCTTCTCCAGGCCCTAGGTAAGTTGGAACATGGATCCGAACCAGCCTATTTTACCAGCAGCTGCCAGGCCTACCAGAACAGGAAGCCAAGGTATCTCACTTTCCATCTCTGCCCACTAGGATCGCTGTGTTCCTGAATATTTCATTCTGTTAACACTGAAGAGGCCCCAAGGTTGCCAGTCCCAGGTTACACCTTAGAAAAACAAACACTGTTCTTCAGGGAGGAAGAGCACACACGCCACCCCAGCAATCACAGGACCACAGCTGAGTGACAAATCCCGCTTTCTGAAGAGCAGCGGAGCCCGCACACCCTGCGCTGACTCAGGGGGAAGCTCCTTCCCTCCTCGGCCCCACCACTCCGGCCTCTTCAAAGAGCTGTGGCTTCAGTCCGTCTGGAGAGGAAATACTTGCTCTTTTTTCCTCTCCTCCCTACCACACCTTCCATGTGTCCCTTGGCAACAGACTGTAACTCTGCAGGTCATGAAAAGAGAGAGAACAGAGGAGCGTTGTCACCAGCACAGTGCTTCCCTCCCAGCCCCCTACGGTCCTTGCCGCCTGCAGGACGTCAGCCAGAGCAGCGAGAAGCACCATCTCCAGTCTGGGTCCTTCCGTAAAGAGGGACCTGCCCCTACTTAATTCCTCCCACTTGTCTGCTGAGTTGAGGGAACATGTTGACTTGAGCCAAAAGTGAAGGACAGCTTCAATGACATAAAATGTGTCATTTAACATTAAGGAAAAGAGAGCTTAAAATACAGATGACATTAAAAGATCTGACAGTGCCAGCTTGGATGGGAATCCTGCGTAGCTTCTTTACAAACCAACGAAGCGTTCCCCCCCTCAATTCAACTTGATAGCAGCAACAGCTCTCTTTAATTTCTCATTCCCGACACCTAGCTAGGAGCCCAAAGGAGAGCTGGGATAATATACATGAGACCCCTCTCCATGTGGAGACAAAAGTAAATAATAAAAGAAAGAAAAGTAAATTGGGGGAAAATACTGAGGTTCTATGGAGAGCATATAATAAGGGGACTAACCAGTCTGGGATTGAGTGGAACTGTATTAAACCAAGCACTAATTAAGAGCCTCAGTATTCTTGCAGCTCAGTCTTTCATAGACAATACAGAAAACCAAACCAGCAACTTTTCTTTCCTCTCATTAGAACACTTTAAATTGCAGCCCTGTATCTCAGTGAGAGGGAGAAAAAGAGGCAGAGAGAGAGAGAAGAAAGAAAGCAAGCCATTTTTTGTTACTGAAAAAGTTTCTAACTGTCAAACTAAGAAACTGGCTTGATTCTAGTAAGAAGCATGGTAATGCCAATGCCAGAACATACAATGAAAAGGAAAGGCTGTCCAAAAAAAACCCTGCAGCAGTGGCTAACTCCTTGAATGAAAATAAACTCCATGGAGGAGAGGGGAATTTCAGAAGAGCTAAGAACAGAGTAAAGGAAGTCATCTGGCTATCATAGTATTAATACCAGAGATCTAGCAATCATGAGCAACTTCGAGAGAGAGGGGGCATGAGAACAGAAGTAACACTGGGAAAAATCAGCTGGACTAGACTAAACAGCAGGTGGGGAAGCAGTGAGATGAGAATGGGGAATTCCCAAAGTAAGCTCACATGAAGCTGACTGAGAAGAATTTTAATTTGCTAAAAAACACCTCAACTCACCATTTATATGAAATGTCCAGAATCAGCTAATCTAGAGAGACAAAGTAGACTGAGCAGGGCTGGAGGTGAAGGGGGAAATGGGCTCTGACTTCTAATGGGCACAGGATGTCTTTCTAGGGTGATGAAAATGTTCTGAAGTCAGACTGTGGTGATGGTTATATAACTGAATATACCGAAAACCACTCAATGGCTTAAATGGGTGAATACTATGGTATGTGAATTATATCTCAATAAAGCGATCAGTGAAACAAAAACCCACTGAAGAGCCTAATCCAAGTGAAAACTGAGGGAAGAGGTTGCCTTCCTTATGCTGAGGGGTCCACACAAAGCCACAGTGAGGGCAACACCAGGCTGCCCATATCCAGTCCCAGGAATCTCACAGTCTGGGGCAATCTCCAAAATATAAACAGGGTGAACAAACAGAGTGTGAAAAGCTCTACTTGAAAGAGATTGCAGGTCATGGAAGAAAATAAGGAGCCCAAATGTCATCCCATTTGATTACATATTAATAGGGAAGTGGGGTTCAGTCCATAATAAAATATCCTCCAAAGACATGTGCAGAACTCGGCAAAAGGGAAGGAGCTGAACTGTTCGGTATACCACTGATGTTAAACAGCAGCACGATCTTACAGCAGAGGACCTGAACAATTGTCCAGTGCTCCTGCACATCTGTTATCTGAAGGGCACCAAGCCGGAGACCCGAGACACACAGATGCCCAAGCCCGCATGCAGAAACTTAAATGCAGTCTGTCTGGGATGGGAGGTAAAAACAAGCCTCTGAAATTCCCTGGAGGATGCTAATTTGCACCCAGGACTAAAAATGAATAAACTAATCAGAATGCTTAGTTTTAGAGCAGAAAGAGATGCAAAGAGTTCAATTAAACCTTGGCTCAAGTCACACAGCTGAGTGGCCTGAGTCAGCACTAGAATCCTGTCTATGACCCCTCAGGACAACCACATCTACTGTGTAGGTGTGTGTGGGGGGGAGAGGGACATTCTTAGAAAATTCTGGCCTCCAAACTGGTCAGATCCCATTATAAGAAAGTAGAGAACAAACACCTGGAAATACTTGGGGACATAAGAGACCTTGATATTGGGCTCGGAAGACTTCGCAATATGCATTGATTTCACTGCCCCCCTGTGTCCTGGTGGGACTCAATCCCCACCAAATGAAATTCACTGGTGAGGAGGGCAGATTTTTGTAACTTCACAGGCCAGATGTGATTGGGAAAATTTACCAAATGTGCCTAGTGTTATAAAAAGAAACACCAAGGAACGTAAAAGCCGATGCTTCATTCTGTGGGCTGTGCACGGAGCTGTCTGCAGGAAACAGGGCGGGCCCTGGCAGACCGACCTTCACCGACCGTGCTAAACCCTCTTAAGAGGAGCCTGGTGAATGAACGCTCTGGCTGACGTGCGCTGAGCCATTACATTACCGAGCAGTGTGCTTCTTACCTATAATTCCACTGTCCTTGCTTTCCAGGGTGGAACTAGGGCTGCTAATGGTCTCACAGGGACTTTTGTTGGCTGCCGTCTTGCTGACACAGCTATTCAAGGTTGAGCAGGGGCTATCGGTGCTAGGAGATGCGGTGCTGCTTGTTAGTGTGGAGCAAGGACTGATGCCTTGGCTCAGGGCTGTGCACTGTAAGACGAATGGAAGGCGGAGTTAGCAGGGCTCACACAGGACACTTCTACACACTCTTTTGTTTTTGACGCTAAAACAATGAAACTAAAAACGGGGACATGGAAAATAGTTTTTAAAAATCTCCGGAGCTTAATATCTATATGGTCTCCCAAATGTTAAAAGAGAAACATCCTTGCTCTGTTCCCCTCCCTTGTGATTTTCCTTTTTTATGGCAAGGGCACTCTCAGAAATAATTTAGTGGGAATGCACATTTGTAAAACAGAAATAGCAAACAGGCAGACTTCCTCTCATTTCAAGTCCGCAGAAGACAAATGAGTCCTTTGACCTCTGTACGGAAAATCTGGGAAGTCTGTTTTTGTAGTGTTTCACGAGCGCCACAACCTGATTCAATTCCTGAAGATTTACGGGCTCTGGGAGCAGGGGAAGGAGACTGGTGGTCACTGTGATCTCAATCGAGGCATGACGCCCATGCAGAGACCCTGCCGGGGGCAGAAGCTTGAGCCCCTCATTGCTATTCAAACGGACACGTCTCCTCTCCGAAGTGGCAGGCTGCTGTGCCCCGGGATGGGTAGTGTTCTCTGGTAGATGAACCATTTGGTCTCATCTCATTTTGTCTCTGCCTCATCTCCTATAAATCTTTTCCTCACCCCACTGACCCTCCAAAATCCCAAGTGCAAAAAAAAAAAAAAAAAAAAAAAAGCACAGGAAAGCATGTACCAAAGCAGCCAGATGAGAAGAATGGTGCTATAAAGATAAAAGCAGCGTCATTACAAAGGAATTCTCTCAGCCACTTTAATTCATTTAGCCCCTCTTCTCCAGGTGGTGCCTAGAAGGTTAATGTGGACATTTTCTTAAGTTCTGCACCCTCCTGCATCTCCCCACCTCCCCCCACTGCAAAAACCCACAAGAGATTGCAATAAATTTCAATACACAACAGCGCAAACTCATTTGACTGAACAATGACTTCCCCTCTCCAGGAGGGGGAAAAGACGGCTATCCCCCCATTCATCCTCTGAGCAGGTATGGGATGCAGGGCCCTCCTCCGGCATTACCATGGTTTCATTTTTTTCTTCAATGGTTATGTGTGTGGCACTTGGGATCCCTTCTCCCAGTAAAAATCCCAGCCTTGTCAACAGTTCTTGAGCTGCCGGCGAACAGCTCGGTTCATTATCGGCCTTTGCTTCTGGAACAAAGAAAGAAAACAATAAAGATGCCGTCTGGGGAGTTTCAGTATCACATCTGGAGGAGCTGGCACCACAGCTGCCTGTCTGGTGCTTTTGTGTATTTTTATAAAATGCACAAAGTTCGACACTGTTGCCTGTCCTCTAGCAATACATGCTCACTAAGGGGCTGTGACAGGTTAGGAAACAGTGAAAGAGAAACTCCGCGTGGAAAGGGCGAAATATTTGGCCTGAATCAGAAGAATCCAGTGTCCTTATCTGAAAGTAACTCTCGGTTCCATGTCATGTGAAAACCGGGTACGTCAGACACCAAAAGTGGAAAAAAGCATACCCTTTATCTTCCTCTTTAAGAGCAGTGTGGCCAGCGTCCACAGGAGGTTGAAATAAAGGAAAACTCACAAGGGACTCTGACAGAGGCCCAGGCTGCTCAGATGCTGGGGTAAAACTGAACGGCAAGTTCTCATTAAACAAGGTGGGGGCAGGACTACTTCAGTGGAAACTTGCTCTGCCTAACCCTAAACCTACAGCAGTGACAGACATCTAGAATTCCAATTCAAGAGTCAATCACCAGAAGCCTAAGTTGAAACAAAAATTTTAAATCCCAGTGAAATGTGTCCCAAGAGACAGGATCCCGTAATACATTCTGCTGGCCATACAAACGTAGAAAAACCCGGCTGTGTTCTCAACATACTCCACAGTCACGCTAGAAGCACCTTTTTTTACCTGAAGGTTGCAGGGCATGCTCGAAAGACTTTCCTTTCTGATCTCCCTAAGGCTGGTCATCTTGCTTTTTGCACTTAAGAAATTTTTATTGTTGGATTTGATTTAAATGTTGAGCTGTAGGTTAACCTTGTATCCAAAAGCCTAAGGGTATGTACTTAATTATAGTTGACAAAATTATATTTGCATTATCCTATCACCTCTCTAACACTTTAAAATCAGTATCCATTGGGGAATGAAATAATGTCCAAACTGTGTTTACCCAAGTTAGAACTTAAGAACAATATGCAACCAGTAATATAGTCCCTCCTCTGTTTTCTTCATATTTGTTAAATTGTCTAGGTACCTAGAGCCCTACATTCATGACCCAATTTTCCCTAGATGTGGAAATCTGCAGATAACGGGTAATAATAGGTCTTAGAAAAATACAATGAAGAAAGAAGAAAAAAGAAGCAAGGTTACCTTTGAGCTACAATCTCGGCACCAAAGTTCAATGCTAACTGCCTTTTGTAAGGAACCACAAAAATAAAAATAACAGAGCTGAAGACCACCTGTATTATCCTCACTCACTGGTCAGCTTTGCTAAGGGGTGCTCCTCCCAGGACAGGACAGCAGCTACAAGGGAAACTAGGCGGCTATATCTTCAAGGGAGGAAAAGCACCCCACCCCTTGCCTACTCTCAAAGGCTTCCAATGTTTGGGGTGGGAGGAGAGCTGTTTACCAACTTGGGTACTTTTTAGTTGCTCTAGAAAACTAAGGGTAAAATAACCAAGGCTTGACTGCCTGGGTTAAGAGAACCCCGGAACATTTGAGTTAAACTCATAACACAAAGGGGCAGTGGCCACAAACCAACAGGGCTAAGGGAGCCACCCCAGGGGCAGTCAGTCACACCCTCAGCCACTCTGCAGAGGCCCCTTCCCACCAGACATCTCAACCACATTCTGATTCTCAAGGTACACAGGCATTTGGGTGAGGAAGGCAGGAACCAAACCAAATCAGCACAACCCAGGCACACCCAAGGGCTGAACCACTTCGGAACAGGATCAGTCCCACCCTCCCTTGCCCCAAGGCTCAGGCAGGGCAGCTCCTTTATCTTAGGTGGCAGCTGGACCAGAGGGAGAAAACAGGATGCCGATGAAAAGGGGAAGAAGTGGGTGAAGGGGCAGAACTCAACAGTTCTCTGCTCCACACCCCCCTTTCCTTTCGAAACAATCTCTGTACTGCTACCCAATTGTGACTGTGCCCCAGAATGTCTAGCTTCTAGTTCAACCTGAAACACTCTGGGGAAAGAGCCAGAAACTACTCCCAGTTGGCAGCTGCTGTGGAGGCAGGGAGAGCAGCTGCACAGGCTTGGCCACCACAAAATTCACCCTGAGAACAAACAGCCTGTGGCTCACTTGGGGCTCGCTCCCAGACCCTGCACCCTGTGTAGGTGCTGCAGGGAGTAGGGGTGCCCCTGGCCGAGTCACTGCTGCCTCCACACTGCATCTGCACACAGACTGTCAAAGACAACTAATCATCCAAACCTCCCCCTCCAGACAAGCTGGGGAGCGGTGGGGATTGCAGGCTTAATATCTGAATTGACAAGACACCCAAATGCATGACTAACTTGTTCTCTAAACTGTTCAGCCTGGCCTTTGCTTCTACCTAAGTTCCAAAACCCTACCGAGGATTGAAATGAGTGAACAGACATTATCTCGGTTTTTGCTACTGCAATTTTTTTTCTTCCAAAAGCTTCCCAACTATCTTTTCATATTAGGCTCTCATCCAAGTGACCTCCCCCACTCAGAAGTCCTCTTCAGTCTGAATTCCTTATTTCACATCTTGCCATCTGCAGCTTTCCTTCCCTAACTAACGCACAGAGCCTTCTGCCGCTGAACTTTCATTCTGGCAGGACACCTGGGTGAAGTGTGACAGGGCCATTTGGGAAGAGATGAGTTGCCTGGGAACCCACACTGATGCGCTTGACAGTGAAAGGGAAATGCATTTCTACTTCCATAGCTGATCACCAAATACTGAGATTTGAACAGTCGGAGAGGATTTTTTTAAGTCAATTCTTACTCCAAAATGATCTCCCAGACCAAAATCCACTGGGACACTTTGGGAGAAGATAAAGAATCCTTGAATATCATACCATTGTGGAATATCATGTGTAGAAAGGTAAAGGGCATTTCTTTGATCATTTCCTGTCCGTCCCTTTTTAGCTATTCACACCTGTTGGACCAAGTTTGGGGCAGGAACACTCAGGTGTGTAGTCCGTAAACTGGCTCCCCATTATTGCCAATGTAGCTTCAAACCTATTTGTGACCTTAATAGTCATCCCCTTGCCTGCCCTTCCCTACAGTCTCAGAGGAAGGTCTTTTCCATGCCAAAGCTATTCTGGACCCCTTACAGTGCTAATCTCTTTAATTTCCTCACCAGGGAGGTAGCCAAAACCTACTTCTTACATGTTGTAAGGCTCAAAAAAACAGGAGAAATATCTTATAAACCAAACACCTTTGAGATAAGAAGCTCTATCAAAGTTGGTCATCCATCTTCCCAATTTTAACACCAAGAGCCTATTTTTTCACTACTGTTTCATTCTCTGGTTTCATGGATTCATACCCTACATTCAATGTGCTTATATTTCTATTACCTAAAAAATAGTTCTCTGCTTATAATTTTCCATTCTTAAATAACTACTTCTGAACTCACTATTCCCTCAGAATAACAAATTCCCTTCTTTTTTTCTGATTATCAAACTATTCCAACTTGGTCCACACTCACTGATTTTGTTATAAATCACAAGCCAAGCAAGGATGACGGGCAGGTACAGAGGGTCACCAAGGCAGAAAATCCTGTGTGCCTAGCAAAGGACAATTGTGGGGTAGGACCTCATGCCCAAGGGTGACCTTTCCTCCCCTAGCATATCGCTGGTCATGCAGTTTGGACCCCCTGACCTTTCCTCCTTAGAGATAACATCTACACCCAGTGGTATTTCAGCAGCAGGCCCAGAAAAGCAGCAAAACCAGACAAGCAATGCCAAGGCTGACCTCAAGACCAGGTGCATTGGATAATGACCCGCTGCCCTGGCACTGACCAATCAGTGGAGACCTAGACCCTGAAAGGACACACCCGGAAAGCTGAATATTATAATGAGACCTTGCCCTGGGACCTCCCCTAAAATCCTCACCCTTAAAATCCTTAGGATAGAGCACTCAATGGCTCTCCCTCTTGGGAGCATGCCCACGCCTTTCCCTTTCCCACTCCAAGCGTGTTACCATTAACTTCCTTACTCCCAAGCTCCAAGGGCCCTTCCTTTACCTTTATAACTTGTTTCCTAAGCCCGCTTCTTCTAGGCATTATTTTTTCTACCTCTGTTATTTAACAAATAAATGTTCTCTTATAGTTTGAGTCTTGGTTCTGAATTCTTTCCTAACCAGAACTCAAGCACCGAGGTCCAATCTGACCCCATGGGTCCCACACCTGGTGCTGTTCCCACCACATACAACCCTTTCATTTCCCATCTAACCATTCCCTCTTCCTAAAGCCAGACTGTTAGAACCATGAAGGTCCCTGGAGATTACCAAAGATCATCCCATCTAAAGAAGACTTTTCTCCCCTTACATTCTCCTCAAATTCTACAGAGTACTTGGGCGTTGTAGACCGTGTAAGTGGCAATGTAAATGGCATTGTAGCCACTTACTAGCTATGGGACCTTTTTTTATAAAAATTGATTCCAGAGAGAGGAAAGGGGGCTTGCAATGCAAACAATCACACAAGAGCTTTTCCTGGGAACAACCATCCTCGCCCAGCATGCAGCAGAAGTCCTTTCTACAGACTTCCCATTTCATCAGCCCAGGATATTAAAAAGATGAGTACCCAAGGGTCAAGATTTAATAACATTCATTATTTTTAGTCTTCCATCAAGGACACTCTTCAGTGGCTTTTTCTGATGCAAATGAGTGGTGATGGAAAACACCATGTGTGGCCCTAAAATAGCAGTTGCCCCTACCTTGGCGTGTACTAAAGCATCAGAAGTTTTACCAATGATTCTTTTATACCATTCGTGCAAATCTCAATGCAAGAGAAATGGGAATACCTTCTTAGGGTTATGAAGATCTGATCTCACGGACCTCTGCAGGGGTCTCAGGGACACCTATCAAGTCAACAGCCTATACATACTTTGAGAACCTCTGCCTTAAGTGTCCAATTGTATTAAATTCTCCCTTTTCTTAAAAATAAATGAATAAGTCATAGTCTCACACACTCCACACCCTACTAACTTAACTGATCCTTTCACCTTTCCTTACTCTCTCAACTCCTTGGGATAAAAAAGGGTCATTCCCCACCAATTCCACTTCCTCATCACCTACCTGCAACTCAAACTCATTCCCCTTCACAACTCTCCTCAAACTTTTCTTAGAAGAGCCCACTTCTTTTGTTATTTCTATATATTTTGACCTTGCAAATATTATCCTGCAAGGGGCAAGTGGCAGCTATCATAAAAGATACACAGAGGGAAAATCCATGGTCGTAGGATACCGGGTGGTCTCGGGGGTTCTTCCCCTACCCCTTCGCTGGTGCTTCTTCTACCTTATTCATAGCTCGATAATAAAATACCAAAGTTTCTCAGTCCTCGTTTCTCAATGACCTTGTCCTTAGACTAACATACTTGGCCTCCTCTAAATAAGTGGTTGCCCCCGTTGACATCCTGAGTTCTTTCTTGAACACCAGTTTGATTTTCCAACTGGTCATTGGACACTTTTGCCTAAATGTTCCACCAGCACCTCAAACTTAACAAGCCTGAAACTCAACTCAACTCAAACCAAAATGCCTCCACTGCCTTCTAAATGTGCTCTCGAAGCCTTGAAGGCATCGTCTTAGTCTCTAACAGCTCCAGGTCCCTGCAACTTCTCAGGAGTCTCCCCATTCATCACCTCTTCTTTCCTGATCCTGTTCTAACTTGAGATATTATTCTCTCACTGAATTACTGACATCATTTTCCAGCCTTTCTCTGATCCTAGTCTTTTTGCCTCAGTCCATCCTATGGTAGGTAAATCTTAAGGCATAGGTCCAATGAAGTCTTTCCTGGCTGAGCGCTCCCATGTGCACCCGACTCATCACACAGCTTGAATGAGTCAACACTACTCCCCTTGTATTACAGTCACTCTGTATATGGGCCTTTAATCCGAAACCAGACTCTAAGCCTCTGTGAAGAAAAGACCTATGCTTGATAACCCATCTCAAATAGGATCCAACATAGAGCTTTTTACAGCGTAGGAATGTAATTAATACTTAATTCAAGGAAATAGGGAATGAATGGATACTCTACCTCTAGTCTCTCTTTACCACACACATACCAGGTGTGTCCCCTTTCTATACTTTCATTTAATAAAATTTTATTCAACCATTCATCAAACACTGTATAACCATTCTAAGAAGCTAAAAACTAAATAGCAGAAGCTAGGTTACCTCTTGGAAAAAAAAAGAGGAGTAAGATCAGCAGAAAGTAGTTATGTTTTATTTGTTAGCCTGAACAGTGGGTAGACAGATGTCATTCTTTTTTATACCGTTCTCATTCTCTACATCTTTCTGAACGCCTGTATTAGTAACCACAAAATAAGGCATCGATATTTACTTAAACATAGATCTAAAAAAGACCCACACCTCCCAATAAGAGAGTTTGGCATTTAATCATTCTGCTACTTCATATGTATCAGTTTTACTTGCTAAGCAGACTGCCAGAAAAAATGTTTAATCATATTTTGAGATTGATCTTCATCGAGCAATGACTCACAAGACTAAAACTTTCTCACCCCTCCCCATCAAAGCTTGCTCAAGTAGCTAAGGACAGATTGAAGCAAAACTAAATGGATTAGGTTGCCCTTAATTCAAAAAAACACAGCTGTGATTCCTATTATAACTTAATAATCCACTCTAATTTATCTGGTTTTTTTATTTGCCCTTAAGGCAGAGGTATTGTTTTGGGGGTAAATGACATTTCCTCCTTACACAATATGTTGCTTTATGATAGAAAACTTATTTGTGAAGAACTTATTCTATGTGACAAAGCTTATTAGGACCATTTGACAGGAAAAGGGGGGTTGTATTTTGTTTCAGGACCTCATTAAGTCACTCTTTCTTGCCAGAGTAGAAAATGCTGTTTTTAAAAATATTTTAAAGCACTGAATAAAGTAAAATGCCTTTCCCTAAAGACATATCCAGGGGCATGTAAACTTTAACAGGTTTTTTGCATGCATTAATGTTCATCTGGCCGGGCTGGTATGGCTCACAGTGGTTGAGCATCAACCTATGATCCAGGGGATCACAGTTTGATTCCCAGTCAGGGCACATGCCTGGGTTGTGGGCTCGATTCCCTGGGATCATGCAGGAGGGAGCCGATCAATGACTCTCTCATCATTGATGTTTTTCTCTCTCTCTTGCTCTCCTTTCCTAGCTCTGAAATCAATAAAATATATGTATATTTTTAAAATGTTCATCTGCCCATATAAATCACTTCCCAGATGGCTAAAATATGCAAATCACACATAACTATAATTACTTATAAATTAATAAATTCAAAGTGCTCATTAGTTTTATTTTACTTTGATTTAAATTTTAAACAGAGAGCTAAGAATCAAGAATTTATGAAGCTCCATGACCATAGAGCAAGGCACCTAGTCTGGGGAGGGTATTACAAACACTTAGGAATAACTTGATATTTCATGAGTCTATGTGAAATTTCAAAAGCACTGCATTAGGAGCTGTTTTCACAGAGTTTGTTAGTCTGGTGAAGACTGAAATGCTTTCATTGATAGCACCCAGAAAAACATCTTAGAGATTTAAAAAAATGCCCAAAGGAAATATGGAAAGCATAAGCCCAAATTTTAAATTAAAACTTAAGTGATGAATGAAACCCTAGAAGTGAATCTGTACATGCCTGGGTTAAAACTAAAACTCAAACTCAATTAGCTTTAATTCACTCCAGCCTCTCCTTTAGGTTCAATGACCTGGACATAAAATTTGCACTTTAATGCGGCAAACTTAATTAACTCCACTGAAATTTAAAGGATTCCATGGAAACTACAAAACACAGCGTCCTTGACTATTTGTCAACCTGAATTCTGTTAGGCAACCACCTCATCATCATCCAACAGATAACTCTGCTTGGGCTTCCACCAACATCATGGCTATTCACTATCCACACATGACCATGTGCCCACTAACATGAACATCATCCCTTTTCCAGACACCTAAGTAAAGAAAAAATGTACCCCGTTTCTTAATTCTAGGTGAAACTTCTGGAAACTTCCTGTCCTTATTCATAGCCCAGGTACGTCATAATTTCAGGTCCCATAGAGACTGATGATGCCGAATCCAAGAGCTCAGGTTTCAGGAGTGAGTGCACATGCAAACTACAGGCAACTCCAGCAATATCAATCACTACACTTGAATTCAGCTCAGCCGGTGGCCAAGCATAAGAATGCCTCCTCACCCCAAGAAAGACAGCCAATTCTGCCTTGAGCAAGAGGAGGAAAGTTGACAGTGGAAGCTGCTATTTATTACCTCTTTACTTTGCCCAATAAAACTCCTAAATTTCTCCCCCATTCTCACTCATAAGTCATAAACTCTCAACAGGACCTCAACAATACTCTCCATCAGAGAGGAAGAGGTTATATAATGGAGTCTAGCCAGCCAAAATGCCAGGAACACAACCTCCTAGGATTACAAAGCCTTTACGGGTGTGAGTGAGAGCAAGAGGTGACGGGCTTATTCTGAAATGGGCAGATTACTGATATTCACTTAAAGGAAAAGGGTTTTATTTTTCCATTCAACACCCGGAACATAAATGAGAGAATAGATCAACATGTAAACACTCTGCACATGTGAATTCACAGCTAAGAGGGTCCTCATGTAAGTAGAATGGTCATCCTAACCAGATACCACTATGGACTCTCCCCTCTTCACCACTGCACACCCTGCCCATCTTTAGCACAAATCCTAGTGTGAACATCTTACCTAAACCTAATGACTGGGTGCCTGGACTAAGCCTAATGACTGGGTGCCTGGACAGAGGGAAAGGGTGCAATTTCTCATGCCAATACACACACACCACCACCTCTTCCCCGTCCCACATGCCCAACTCCTAGCCCCATCTCATTCACCACCCATTCCAAATTCTTCTTCCCAATTTTTATTTCCTGCCAATCCCTCCTCTCTCAGCTCATTTTTAGCTTTATTTTCACCACCACCACCCCCCCTCCATTTTCCTACCATGTTTCTGCATACTCCCCACCACGGGAAATACAGACACACAGAATGCACACCTGGTGGTTGGAACATAAAGGAGTTGTACTCCCACACCCCACAACTCAGGAGAGCAGGGTGCCAGGTATTTCAAAGTGCAAATATGGATGCATTTTCCTAAGTTCTCTTTTAGTATTACTACATTAGCTTGTGTCCACATTGAGGGTAAAACAGGTTTCCCTATGGAGGCCAGGGTTCCTAGCCACATGTTTCTTTAGGAAAATAGGATGCAAATTCAAAACACAAATTAAAGACCATAGAGCTGTAAGTTAGGGGATCTCCACCCCGAGAAAGGAACAAATAGGTAAATTCTTGAATTGATTTTTAAAAAATTAAGATTAATACATCTATGAAATGCTGTAAGTTTGTAATGTCTGTTACACATATTTCCAGATATAGGAAAAAAAGCAAAACATAAAATGTCTTCTTGAAAAAGTTTCAGTCAATTTGGGTTGTTTTTTTGCCCCACTTCTATATTCCCCTAAAGAAAAATTTTTGATGTTAAAAAATAAGAAGCTTTTAAAAGCTACCAAGTGGTTTTAAGTAAGCTAGTTATTATAAGCTTCGTGCAGCTCAAGTTTCAGCTTTCCAGCAAAAGCCTGTTGTTGAATATTCTAAAATGATGGAGTACTAAAAACCAAAACACAACAAAACAAAGTCTTGGAAGCAGTTTTGTGGCTGCTTTTTCATATCCCCCCCATGCCGGAAAGGTCAAAATTGAGAGGAAATAAGAGTCAACCCTTAAACAATGCATATGCACATGCACCCACCCAACTATTCCTACACTATGTACATAAATCCAAGAATTTACATTAATTGATCAGATCTCTGTAACTGCCTGAGGGGAAAAAAACCTGCCAAACACATTCAGTTTAGCAAAGCATTCCTGCAAGAGACACTCAAGTTTCACTCAGAAATGAAGTGCCATTACGTACAATCTTTAGGGGGGAAATCATTGAAAACAGATTCTTACCATTCTCATTAAGCTCTGTTGGCTTGGGCACTTCTCTGAACGGGATTATAACTGCGTCGCCAGGCACTCTGGGGCTTTCCACATACTTGGGTTTCCTGACGGGACCTGCAGTGGGAAAGATCTGAGTGTGGCTAATTTTTTCCAGATGCAAACAAAGCTCCAGCATGTAGAGTGTGTGTCCTCAGCAAGACCCAAACATGCATAAAGGAAGAGCCGGCCCTCTCCCCTCCCTTGAACACACATACACAGTCATTTCGGTACAGGCACGGGAATGTCCAGTCGGGGCTGCCAGAGAAGAAGTGAGTAAGCTCAGTTTCGAGAATGTAAACTTTGACAAAAACCAAGCTGCTCTTCTGCAGTGAAGTCTCCACAGCTGTCCTCGGTGTGTGTCAAGTAAGTGATTTTGACGTGTTCCAACCTGGGTGGCTCGTGGAGAAGGGTTTTATCTTTGGAATTTTTCTCTAACTGGGACAAAGACGATTGGGTTGCTTGGTCTCTCCGAAGTCAGGAGGCAAGGACTGCACACAGCCAGCCTGTGATATCAGCAGGCTCTGAGCAGCCTCAGAGGCAGGCATTTTATCAGGCTGTGACGCATGGCAACTGTGCGGGGCAGAGATGACTGCTTTCTTGGCAGCAGCCAGTCTGGCATGGGATTCAGGGATACAAGAGCCTCAGAGTCAAATCTCTCACTTCTCCCCCTACCTCAATTGATGAGAAAATCTGAAATTCTTAGTAAGACTGAATGGAACCTTCACACGTTGCTAGTGCAATGCACAGCAGCCACTTTGGCAGTTCCTCAAAAAGGTTAAACAAAGACTTTATCAGTTGGCTCAGCAATTCCACTTCTACGTAGATATGCGTTCACACAAAAATCTGTGCATGAACGCTCTTGGCAGCGTTATTCACCGCAGCCAAATGCCCATCGACTGATGACAACAACATGTGATACGTGCACGCAACGGAATACGATTGGGCAATAAAAAGGAAGGGAGTGCCGATTCGTGCGTGCTGTAACATGGACGAAACCTGAAAACTTCTGCTAACTGAAAGAAGCCAGTCCCCAAAGACCACATATTATATGATTACATTCATACGGAATGTCCGGAATAGACAAATTTATAGAAACAAAGTGGAAATGGTTGCCAGGGGCTGGGAGATATGCAGGCTTGTGGGGTGACAGGTTAGGGGTCTGGGACTTCTTTCTGGGGTGATAAAAATGTTCTAAAATTAGACTGGTGATGGCTGCACAACCTTTTGAATATGCTAAAAATTTCTGCTGTGTACACTTTAAATGAGTGAATTGCATGTTATGAGAATTATATCTAAATACATCTGCTTACCAAAAAAAAAAAAAAAAAAAAAAAAAAAAAGATTCCCTATTCTGTCTGTTCCTTTCAAACATATTACATTTTGGTCCAAAATCACCCACTGGACTCTCATTATCTTTGGTTGCCTGCTACTGAAAATGTGCTTTTAACAAGGCCACAGTCAGGAAACATTTCGCACCGTGAGAGAGAGGGTGGTGGGGAGAGGGCAGACAGGGGCCACAGCTCTCTCGCCGCTCAGTCCTGAGCCACAGCCCTGACCCTCTGGGGGCCTCAGCTCCGTCACCAGACACGGAACGGGTAAGTCGGGCTAATTTTGAGCATCCTCCTGTATCAAACATCTTACACATCTGAGAAATTCTATTCAGCATGAGGTTTATGGTGAGAGATGCTGCCATCTAAAGGTTTACTGCAAAAGCATCTCTACTACCATAAAAATAATCCAATTCCCAGCCAGCCATAATACACTACATCTTAAAATAAACTATGTTATCAAAGAAGCGCACGGTACTTGAAAAATAGGGATATTATTTCCAACTTTAGACAGCCTGGTTTTTGAAACCATTTTCTGTTCCGGGATCCGATCTGAGATTCCACTGCCTTACTCCTGTCTCCTTACTCTCCTCTTCCTGGCAATTCCTCCGTCTCTCCATGTTTCTCATGACCTTGACAATTTTGAAGCCTACTGATTGATATTTTGTAGTATTTCCCTCAATTTGGACTTGTCTGATATTTTCTTATGATTAGGCTGGGGTTATAGATTTTTGGAAGAACACCACGGAGATGACATGTCCCCCTCATCACATCTTATTGTAATATCTCATGATTTCAATATGACTCTTACTGGTGATATAACCATGACCACTTAGGGGCATCTGTGAGGTCTCTCCACTAGGAGGTTTCCAATTTTCCTTTTCCATCCTCTGTTCCTTAGAAGTGAGTCACTAAGCTTAGGCCACACTCAAAGGAGAGGGGAATTAAGGTCCACCTCCAGGAGGAAATAGTGTCAAGGAATTTTCGGACATTTGTTAAGAGCACCACAGTGACTAGTAAGTATTTGGGGGAGAGACTTTGAGACTCTGAAAATGTCCTATTTCTCTTTAAAGGTTTGCCCACTAATTTTAGCACTCATCCTCCAGTGCTGCCTGCAGCGTTTATTACTGGAGTGTTCCAATGGTGATTTTGTACTTTTCTCATTTCTTCACATGTGTTACTTGGAATTCTTTTCTAAGGAATATCTGTCCATGTCAGAAAGGGGAATTTTTTAAAGGTTAAAAATAGAATGGTTAAAAATAGAATGGGTGGAAGAAGGAGAATATGTTCATAATATAAGTGGAAGATGTAGACTATACAACAGAATACAAAGTATAGTTCAGATTTTATTTAAGACATACACATATCCATATAGAAACATGCATGGAGGGAAAGACGGGGGAGAGAAGAAACTAAGATTGCGTGGAGAGGCCAGAAACTAGGAAGGGCAGGTGGAAGTGGAACCAGGACAAATATGAGAATCTTCATGTTTGGTTGGGGACCTTCTCCCTATGGTAAGAGAGATCACAAATGTTATTTCTCTCTGGTCATCTGCTCTTTTCTATTTAAAGGACTTAAGGCAGATAATGCACTGTATTATTATTGCCCAATTATTTGAATTGCCCCAATCAGCAACCACGGCACAGCACAAGAGTTACCCGTTTCTGCTCACCTTAACTCTTCAGGGTATAGTAACAGCAGATCTAAAAAGAACTATTTCCTGGCTCCGATCTACCTACCCCATACGTCCTACAAAAATATTCTCTAATAGTAAGTGCTTTCTTAAAATGTGGGTTTTTATCACATGGATGTACAATGGTCATTATGAATGGTTGGAACACCGAACCTCAATGTCACACAGAGGCTTCAGAAAGCATCCATGCCCACCCATTTAATTGTATGAACTGTATTCTGTTCAGAGGCCAACCACCAACTGTAAGAATTACTCAACACTGAGGAGTGAGGGTAATGAGAGCAGAGCCTCTAGGCTGATCACAGTGAACAGTGATGCTGGATACAAAAGGAGACCTAGATTATATTAAAGTAAATAAAACGTCCATTCAGTGGTTACACAAGGCTAAGCACTTACAAACAATAATTCATTCAATCCTAGTAACTTTGGGAAAAAAGCACTGTTTCCCCCATTTTTAGCTCAAGAAACTGACAGGCTCCAATCAGTTAAACAACTTGCTCATGGCCCACACATAGCAAAGCAGGAATGCAAAGTTTTGTAGTCTGTGTAGGTGTGAAGTCCATGTATTAAACCACCCTTAGCACTTAGGAAATCCAGATTAAACATGCATTTACATAAAAGGCCAGGGCAGAGAAACCTCCCACCATCCAATCATCCATGGGCCTTGGCCAAATAGTCAGCGAATCTTTTATTCACATTTACTTGTCTCTGATCCCGCCTAACTCTTACTAGGAGTTGAAATATTATGAGGTGAATATAAACAACCACTCTCCAACATGGTCCTTTTATTTAAATTGATTTTCACAAAAAGCTGAACTTCGAACGCTATAAAACAGGATAAATTTATAAACACAGAGGTTTTAGTCTTCCCCCTCTCTATTGCTCATTAGAGAATTTGTGTGCACTTTCCATTAAACATAGCAGATGAACGCTTGTCTGCCTTAACTCCCTTTCCAAACACCATTCAAGTTGCAGTAAAGAGATTTGAGAGAGTAGAACAATGGGGACAGGAGACAACCACAGGCAAGAAACCAAACTTCTGAAAGTTGGAAAAAAAGGTGCCAAGGAGCAGTGGATGCAGCCTAGTAGAAAAGGTGAGTGCAGGGGAGCAGGATGGGAGGACTCAGTCAGAGACCAGAGACACCTCTGAAGGCAGGGGCATGGGTGGGGTCAAACACAGGACCATGGGTTGAATATATATTTAAGACTCCCTCACCCTGAACCAGGAGCGTGCCCTCTCTCACCCTGGAGACTCAGTTTTTCTCTGGAAAGGCTGAATGCCAAGACCACGGAGACTCAAGAGCTGAACTCTTGAGTGCAATGCTAAATAACTGGGATTAATAAAAAATTCTGGATGCAGATTTGTGGGTCCCAGATGGATGTATCCTCCCTCTTAGTTGTAAGAACACTGATAGCAAGCTTGCCCGCCATGGCAGGAAACTAGAGGATTCCTCTCTGGGGAAGCTCAACAACAGAAAAGACCTATAAATAATCCAGTTGGGGACATGCCCCCAAATAAATGGCAAGTCCTATCCTGGCCAGGTAGCTCAGTTGGTTAGAGCACTGTCTAGATACATCAAGGTTTCGGGGTTGATCCCTGGACAGGGCACATACAAGAATCAACCAATGAATCAACAAGGAAACATCAACCTTAAATGACACACTATATCAGATGAATTGATATTAACAGAACATTTCACCCCAAAGCTGAAGAATGTACTTTCTTCTCAAGTGCACATGGAACATTCTCAAAGATAGACCACATGTTAGGACACAAAGCAAGTCTATCCAAGTTCAAGAAGATTGAAATATCAAGCATCTTCTTGGATCACAACAGCATGAAGCTAGAAATCAACTACAATAAAAAGCCTCAAAAACATCCAAACACATGGAGGCTAAATAGTATGTTATTAAACAATGAATGTGTTAGCAATGAGATCAAGGAAGAAATCAAACACTTCCTGGAACCAAGTGAAAATGAACACAGAACAAGATAAAATCTATGGGACACAGGGAAAAAAGTCCTGAGAGGGAAGTTCATAGCATTACAGGCC